ATGTGTAGCATATTATACATTAATAAATAAATTAATAAATTTTTTTAATAAACTTTAAAATTTTAAGTTTACATTGAACCAAAAAGCGTTCTGAGACTTTTGGCGGGGGTCTGTAGATCATGTCAATCTATTTATCTGACTTGACCTAATTTAAAAATCCAGATCAAATCAATAGATTTTAGATTAATGTCAGATCAGATTAATAAGTTACCTAATTTGATCTGATTTGATAAAATTTAGGTTAACTAATTCTTAAATAATAATTAATTATTAAATAATTTATTATTATTTAATTAAAATGATTCATTATTATTTAATTAAAATAATTCAGTTATTATTTTTCTTGAATAATTTATAATTATTCAATTAAAATAACTCATAATTTAGTTATTATTCTTTTTGAATGGTTCATTATTATTTAATTAGAATAAATCAGTTATTATTCTTTTTAAATAATTTATTATTATTTAATTTAAATAATTTGATTATTATTCTTCTTGAATGATTCATTATCATTTAATTAGAATAATTTGATTAGGTCAGATCAGGTTAAATAAAAATTAAAATCAGGTTAGATTTTTATTTGAACTAATCTGATTCTTTTAGTTTAAGTAACTTAATTGATTAGATTTGAATTAATCTGTTTAAAATTCTATCAGGCAATTATATTTTAACATTCTAAAATAAAAGAAAAAAATATATTAAATAATAAATAATATATTTTATAAATTAGATAAATATTATACTTATCTTTATAATTTTTCTATAATATTCAAATATATTAAAAATTATTATTTCTTTAAAACCTTTAAAAATTTTTATTATCAAACTAAAATTATGATATTTAACTTTAAAAGGAGGATGACTATTTGATATTTTCTATAGAGAATATTAATACTGTAAACTTCATTTTTTTTTATTCTTTAGATTAATATAAAATTATATTAAAAATTTTTGATTATTATATAAATGATATTTTGATTCTTTTTAATAATTTATAATTTATCAGTTTAATATTATTTTAATAAATCAAAATATTATTATAGTACTGTCAAATATATCATTATTATAATAAAAATAAGAAAATTAATAAGATAATATATATACACTATGTATAATTTGTTTACTATATAAATACAATATAATATAAGTTAATTAGTATCCTAATTTATATTTATCATTTTAGTTAAGTATATTATAATTTTTCAATTAATATTAAAATATATTTCTTTTAGTATACTTTATTATCAATAAAATTTTTTTTAATTATTCATTTAATTTTAAATGATAAGTCAATATATAAACTTATAATATTTTAATATTAAAATAATTTATGTCTTAATTTGAAGTTATAATTTCATAAAAATAAATAATATTATAATTATAATCAATTTCATGTTAAATTTCAAATTGAATTATAAAATATACATAAATATTATATAATTTTATGCAGAATAAATCAAAATATATATTTTAACTAGGAATAGTAATGGTCAGTTATAGTTAGTCAATGATCAATTAAAGATTATTAACTGACTGACTGATTAACTGATTGATTTTAATTGATCAATTGACTAATTGAATAAATAAAAGTTTTAATATTATAATTTAATTCTTGCTTTAACGTTAATAATTTATAGCATTTTTTAAAATTACTTTATCATTTTTATTTAGTGATGTAGTATTGACATGGGTTTTTTTAATTTTTTTTTTAAAATTTCAAAATTTTTAATTTATAAATAATTAAAATGATTGCATTAAAATTTTTTAAATTTGTGTTAAATCAATATTGAATTCAATGATATATTTGTAATAAAATATTAATTTTGTTAATTTAATATAAAGTATTTTTATTATTAAAATATGGTTGTTTAATCTCAAGTTAGTCAGTCAATCAATCAGCAAAAACTAGTCAAAATCAGTCAGTCAACTAGTTGATTAAAAACCTTTGACTGATTAAAATTAGTTATAGTTATAACTAACTATAACTGATTATACTTATAACTATTAGCATTCCTAGTTCTAACTTATAATTACCTCACGAATAATTTTTTTGACAGTAATATTATCAAGATTAAAAAAGATTTTAATGCAAAAGCTTATTTATAATTAATTTTATTTGTATAATAAACCATTTTAAAGGTTTTAAAACCAATTTTTTATATTTACTAAAATTGTTATATTTATAATATTTAATATGCTATTTAAAAATGATTTCTTCAATTCAATTATCTATTCATTTGAATTAATAGTATTTCGCATTTTATTTTATTTTAATAATGATGTAAATAAAATATAATAAAAACTTTTAAAGAAAAGTTAAAAAAAAAGTAATTTGAAAATCATATAATATTTAAACCACTTGATTTATATATCATGTAAATAATTAATTAATGATTTTTTTTTTAAAAGTTTTTATTACTTAACTGAAATATAAGAAATAAAATATTGATATAATTGCAAATTTTTATTATATTTTCACTTATTTTAATAAATTTTCTTTTATATTTATTATTAAAGTTTAACATAATCAAAATTAGCTATTATAATTCATTTCATGAAAAAAATTTAACTATTAGAAAATAATGAAAATAGTTTTTAATATTTATAAGATCCAAACTTAAATTATTATAAAAATGGTTTTAAAATATATTTAATCTAATTTTTTATACATCTATAAAAAATTTTACTAAATCCTAATAAATTAAACTTACTTATTTTAAAGATGATAAATATATTCTAATGTAAATGTTTAAATTTTGAAATAATTTAAATGATTTATGTTAACACACCTTTCTCATTTTGATATTTCTATTTTTAACTTTAACAAATAATTCAAAGCTTTTATTTGTAAACAAATTTGTAAATTTAAGATAACAATCATACTGGTCAATTTCTGTGTCACCATTTTCAATTTTAATTAAATTAATTTCAGGTACAAAATCGTCTGAAATTAAGACATCTTGAATAGATAGAATCTGAATTGCAAATAGAATCCGAATTTCAGTATATAAGGCTATCTGAAATTGGATAACTGAAATTGAACTTTTGGATAAAATTTTAATCTTAGACGATTTATGTATTTATTAAATTAAAATTAAAGAAATATTATCTACATGCAATTTATTTTAATTAATATATTTGTTTTTTTTAACTGTTTTTTATTTATTTTTCTTGATTGCTTTGAATGAAAATAAAAAAAACTAACGATTATTTCTCTATATAAAGTTAAAAAAAATTTACAATTCTTCTCTTTATAACCTTATCTTTGATTAAACTAATGAATGATATAATAGAATTATTAATTACAAATAGACAAAAACCCAGCCAACCAAATAAATTTAAACATTTCTATAAGTAATCACCAATTTTTATTTTTTTATTCTTTATTTTAAAGTTCGTCTCTTGGCTTTAAAATAGAATAATTACAAAATTAGATTGTAAAGATAGTGTTCCTTTCTATTTGCTTCCTAATGTAATAAAATAATTATAAAGAAAAAAAAAATTGAATGGGCGGCAGTCAGTAGTAAAAGGGGAAATCTAAATTTTGAAATAAAATTAAATAAATAAAAAAAAACACTTATTAACTGACGTAGCACCCGATGTAATCAAAAAATCTGGACGAAAATAAAATTGAAAATAACATATTACATGCATTATAATTTTAAAACTAGAAAGTCAAAAAAAATAAAATCGAAAATAAAGAAAGAAAACCCTACGTTACGCAGCAGCCCGAATTCGATCAAAAATCCTAAAACCTAGAACATCCTTAAAATAAATAAATAATAAGTGTCCGAAATTTAAATCCTATTAACTTTAATAAACCACGAAATCAAATGTTATCTTCTTGATTTAAATATTATAATTCAGCTAAAAAAGTAAGTTGATTATACGAAATTGTAAAAAAAAAAAATTGGAATATTGTGATTGGTCTGAAATTGGAATTTCAATTTGACATTGCATGATTTTGTTTCTTAATATGCAAAAGCATATTTTTGTAATACCTTGCGTTTTGACCTTCCTGATACAAAATTTGCCATTTATTATATTATAGGAATGCAAATCGGCAAGATTTCAAAAAATTAAATCCGGTCGCTCTGATAAAAATTTACAACTTAATAGAAAAGATTATATGGCAAGTCGCTAAGTATTTCATATTTTTCTCTAATTCTTCATATATCAAATTTTGGATTAAAAAAAATAAATAAATTTTTACAAACTTTCGTTGCATATTTTATCTTCGCAGTCCGGTGATTAATAAATCCGGATTAACCAAGAAACCGGGATATAATAAATCCGGGTAAAACAATTGGTGGTTGGTTTGAAATTATTGCCACATGAAAATTTTATTTATTTAAAAAAAAAGTTGCTAACCCGATTGTAAATCACTCCATGCGTATATAATATGTGGTAATGTGGTAAATATCATAATCATAAAAAAAAAAATGGAATTCTCTTATTTTGAACTTGTTTTTGGATCCTTAATCTGTTCGATTTTATTTATTTTAATGCGTAGGGAACGACAAATAAAATTGGTAAATCGAGATTTAAAGATTTATAATGTAATGTATAATAATTCCCGTAAATTTAAATTGTTAAAAAAAAAAATGACCTTTTTGATTATTTAGAATGAACCCCCTCTTGTGTATTATAAATATCCAATTATTGGACATACTATTGATTATTATAAAGACAATGAAAAATTTATTAAAGAATGTTATGAAAAGTACGGAGAAATCTTTTCTATATATGTCTTTGGTAAAATTATAACCTTAGTTGGCGGTGAATTTTCTTCTGAAATCTTCAAAAATCACAAAGATTTTTCTTTCAGTGAATCAAACGAAGAGGTATTTATAAATTAAAGATCACAAAGCCTAATTTTCCTAACAATCATCCCCATCATTTAACAAAAAAATTCACGTGAATTTCGCATGATAAGTTTTTACCTTTGCATAGCTTAACGCATCGCCCAAACGAATTGGTTATGGTAATTCAAAAAAATTTAACAGGAGATTTAAAATACTATACAAATCGAGTTCAAAGACAATTACTTAAATCTATTGACGAAATAATCGGAGACGGTAAAGGTAAGAAAGGAAGTCCAAGATGTCCAAGATTATTATGTTTTATTTTTAATTCTTATAATAATGCTTTTCATCATTTATTAGTTTTACAACCCCCTTTAAAATCCTTCCAATTCATTATCGCAAAACCTGTTGCCGCATCTGTGGCCGAAGAATTATCTGATGATAAAGAGTTGATAAATTCATTCGCTTATGCTATAAAGGATATTGCTTCGTATATAAAAATTCCACCTATTTTAAATTTCATTCATCCTAACTTGCACAGGGAATTTATAAAGTAAAATATGCATGATCTTAAAAGTTCTTATCTAGCCACAATTATCTAAAATTAACTTTATTCATTTTTAGAATGTTGTTTCGTTATCCAAGTAATCCCTTCAAATATCATAGAAAAATCATTAAACAAAAGATTACACCAGTGGTTGAGAAACGTTTAAGTGAAATGAAGAAACTTGACGGTGCTTATGTTCCCCCGGTAATTATATTATATTTGGAAACTGAGTTATTTTAAAATAATTCTTGACCTTTTTTTTTTTTCCTTTATTTAGGTTGATATCTTACAAAAGTTTATTGAACTATATGGTGGAGATATCGATACCATCACAGATTCTATAGTTACGGTTGTATTTGCATCTATACATACTACGTCAACGTTTATTACTCATGCTCTACAAGGTAAAGACCTTTTTTTTAAAAAAAAATATATATATAGATATATTAAAGAGATTTTTTTTTTTTTTTTTTTTTTTTTAGAATTTGTAAATAACCCGCAGATTCACGAGGAATTACTAGAAGAACAAGAACAACTGTTTAAAAGTAACGAAAATGAATATTATTCTATTGAACAAATTGCTAAAATGGAAAAGTTAGATAGTATGCTTAAAGAAACATTAAGAGTATATGCCGGTATGAATGGATTTTTGAATTTCAAATCAAGTTACATTTTTTTTTTTTTAAAAAAAAAAAGGCTGGAACAAATAAATCCTATTTTTTCTTGTTTTAGGTGTATTACCACATAAATTAATGTCCCCGTATTATACTTTTTCAAGCGGACATCAAGTTCCAAAAGGTAATTCTTTTATT